GAAAGAGTGAGGAAGCAAACTACCAGGTCGAGGACTCGAACCTGTGGTAAGCCACGTGGGAGTCCAGAACCCTTAACCACCACGCCACCTGGCAGTCCCTCTTTTTGTTTGTCTTCTAAAAAAATACAATAGTACTTTTTCCTTTCTGGCTAGATGCTATTGTAGTTAACATCAGAATACATGTTTATTAGAATATAGGCTATAGAATGAGGAGTGCAAACTTTTTCTTAAAGGGCACAATAGTGAACATTTTAGGCTTGGGAAGCTTTGTGTACTTGAAGAGCCCTGTGGTCTCTGAAGCAGCTTTCGACCCCCGCTGTTCAGCATGAAAGCCGCCATAGACAAGATGTAAACAAACTGTCCCAGTGAAACAGGTGGCCACAGTTCATCAGCCCTGATGTGGAGCACAAATAACAGACTTTTGGCTTGTTGGCTTAGGAATACTTGGAAATCAATCATAAGACATACTTTAAATTTTTTCTTTATTTTGTATCAGTAACAGAGCCAATACCATATGTAATTGTAACCTCAGTAGTAAGTTTTGATATTTAAGTATTTACTAGCAGCTCCAAACTGATTTCTTTTTTTCTTTTTAAATGAGTATTTAATTTTATTTATAATTATTATTATTATTTTCTTTAATTTGCTGTAGAGCATGTGTGCTCACCAGAGAGAAAGTGAGAAAGCAAGCTGCCAAGGGACCAGCAGTTAGTGTAATGGCTATGTCGCTGGACTCCCACGTAATTGACCACGGTTCACGTCCCAGACCCAGTGGCTTAAAACTCACGCCGAGTGTGTGTGCGCGTTTCCAAGATCCCAAGAGGAGAATGGAGGAGAAGGGATTGTGGTGTGACCAACCCTCCTGGGGGGTGATTTCTCGCTTTCTGTCTCTCTGTCTCTCTCTGTCTGTCTGGCGAACGCACGCGCCCTATGGTGAAAACCTCTCCAAAAAAATAAATAAATAAATAAAATTTTAAAAAAGAGAGAGAAAGCAAGCTGCCAAGTTTGGGACTCAAACCATGTTCAGTCATGTGGAAGTTCAGTGCTTTAACCACCATGCCAACTGCTGACCCCCTGATGTCTTGATAAATATTAAAATCACAAATTATATTTAATGTTGCTTTAAAAGATAATAAATAGTATGATGGGATAGCAAGTGTATGATGCCCAGTGAACCTCGTTTAGAGAAAGCTGTTTGTCCTGTGATTAGTGATAATGCACATGGACCCTGGGTCTTCTCACTTACACTGTCTGTCTCAATTCCAAGGAGCAATCACAGCAAAGGAACTATACACAATGATGATGGATAAAAACATCAGCTTGATTATAATGGATGCTCGAAGAATGCAAGATTTTCAGGATTCCTGTATTTCAGATTCTCTCAGTGTTCCTGAAGAAGCCATCAGTCCAGGGTGGGTCACTCTGTATTTAGCTAAAATGGTAAACTGTGGACAGTAATAAATGTTACTATTTAGCATCCAGACCAGATGTGGCAAAGTAGTCTTGTCTCTTCTGTTGCCTTTTTTTGTTGTTGTTCTTTGCTTCTTAAAAACACACCCTTTCTGAAGGAGAGTGTCAGAGGCATTCCAGTTAGGCTTTTTTTTTTTTTTTTTTTTTTTTAATCTGCGGCATTTTAGTCTTGTAAGAAGAGGAGTAAGTCTTTGTGTGTCATTTTTTTTTAATGGAGGAATTGAATATTATATTATGTCTTATTTTGCTGCAAAGCTGTTGCTTCAACTGTATAAAATAGCACCAGCAAATGCAGTATATGGGAAAACTACAATAGTACTGCTCTTTAACACTATACAACAAAAACTTTTCTCCACTCCCACTGATTTCCAGTGAAGAGAAAATGAAGTCTTCTGACCCACATCCAGGGATGGTTATACAGTGTTCTATAAGGCTTAGGCTAACAGTGTTATCACTGATTACATCATTTTTATAACTAGTTTTTAATCACAGATAATTTCATGAATTCTGAATACTTGTGCATAGACTAAGAATCATAGAATATTGTGAAAAAGATGCACTTTGTGTTTATTAAAAATATGTTCATTAGAAAGTTAAGGGGTTTTTCTTTTCAGTAGTGGTGTTCAGAGTAGTTTCTTTATCCACTGGTATTGCTAAAAGTTGCAATTTAAGTCTTCTATCAACCACTAATTTAAGACAACTATGCCTGGATTAAGTTGTTTTACATTACTTTATTTAAGGGTTCTACTTTTAATCTTTTTTTTTTTTTAAGAGGTTTTTGCTATAGGACGCATACGCTTGCCAGACAGAGAGACAGAAAGCGAGAAATCACCCCCTAGGGGGGATGGCCACGCCGCAATCCCTTCTCCGTTCTCCTCTCGGGATCTTGGGCACGCATGCATATGTGCTCGGCGTGAGTTTTAAGCCACCGGGTCCGGGACGCGAACCGCGGTCGACTACGTGGGAGTCCAGCGACATAGCCATTACGCTAACTGCTGGTCCCAAGGGTTCTACTTTTACTCTTCAATAGACTTTACATATTTCTCACACGCATCTTCACTCATTAGTTAGTCTAGTTCTGAAAGGTGACTCAGTGTCATTTTGATCAGCCAACCATTCATAACAAGATTTGTTGACAAGTCCTGGATTTTCTGCAAGAGCGTCATTGACTTCAGTGACTTCTCCTGACAGAAGGGAATAGAGGTCACTAGCAGCTTTTACACTTTCCAAAGCACCAAACTCACTGTGTTTGTTCAGTTTTGTCCCAACTTCAGGCAGACTACAGTAAACACCTCCCAAAGCTTCCTGTGCAAAATTACTGATTTCCACTGTTCCAATACTGTTTTCTGTTGTTATCCATTCGTGTTTCTCTGTGAATTTACGCACTGACAGCAGAGCCAGTCCCGTGCGTTGTGTCCGGACGGTGCCCACCCGCAGCCGCCAGGGCCGCAGTGGGCAGGGCAGGGCACAGTGGGTGCCAAGGCCCTGTGCAGGCTGCAGGCCACGGCCCTGCATACTCCATACCCCCGCATACTCCACGCCGCTGGCAGCGCTGTGTGTGTGTCCTTTCATCCCAGGTGTTTGTTAACTGATTTCTCCTACTCTTTCTCATTTTCTACTTACAAGTTTGTGAATTTATACCAGATTAACTAAAATTGTGCACTAATTGTTTTGCATGTCAAAATTCCCTATACTATCATTTATGGTAAAAAGAGCATACACATATCTTTTTGTTTTAAGTTGCCAGAGGTGCATGCTCTTGCTTGAGAGAAAATGAAAGTCTTCCAATGGTATGTGATCACATCACAATCTCCTTTCTTTCTGTCTCTGTCCTGTCAGGATGTTAGACGTGTGCACACATGCCTGGTATGTTTCTCAAGCCACCAGAGCAGGGACTCAAATCACAGCCTTGCAAATCTGGCTCCAAGGGCGTAGTACCGAACCATGTGCTGTGGGATGACTCAATAACTTGTTTTTTGAGTTTATTTCTTTCTTTCTTCCATGAACAAGAGAGACAGCACACCTAACAGGGTCCCCACACCGCAATCCAGGCCTTCAGCCAGCCCCAGTCTATAAGTGCACACATGCCAGCATATTAGGGAAGTCCACAGGCATGAACCCGGAACAGTCCTACGTGGGTCAACCTCACATGGTGTTGTTTTACCTCAATGCCACCATTCACACCCTCACCACCCACCTTCCTTTTTTTAAGAAGTAAAGCTACCTACTTAAGAAAAATGATAGACTCTGCAGTTGGACTGTATTCAGTGAACTCCGCTGCATTATTTCTAGCAACTGACCTACGTTCTTTAAACTCATGTTTTATCTGTAAAATGAGGATAGTATTAGGTTGTTGGGAAAGTCATGACTTATTTTTCTGTGCAAAACTGCATCATGACTTTCCCAACAACCAAACAGTACCTAGATTTCAGGATGTTTATATGAGAAATTTTATACATATCTACACACACACACATGAATTTAGCACAGTGCCTGGCATTAGTAAGGATTTACTTTAAAAAAAAAATAGGTGTTGTCTATTTATTCTGAGTAAGAAAGCTGTTGACTGATAAAATAATTTAAAGTTATTTTATGGGTATCTCGTACATTAGAAATCATCATGACTTAGTGCCAGAGCTAAACTTGCAGATCCATGGTGGCAATTTTCACTGTTTCGAGCATTCTTATATAAATAATAAGGTGACTCTCTTAAAAGTTCATAGAAAATGCATATTATGAAGAAATTATGCATGGATTTCAAACTTTTTCGTACCAAAATAAACTCATGCTTTAATTCCATTTTTCCTGCAAACTTTTTGAAGTACCTGCATGTAACCTCTCTGGGTCTTAGCTTATTGGATTGGATTAACTGAAACCTGTGGTCCATCCTAGGGCTGATTTAGCATTAAAAGTATATATTTTTGCTATAGGGCACATGCGCTCGCTGGACAGAGAGAGACAGTGAGATAGAAAGCGAGAAATCACCCCCCAGGGGGATGGCCACACCTCAATACCTTCTCCTCCATTCTCCTCTCAGGATCTTGGGCACGCACACACACACACCCAGCGTGAATTTAAGCCACCAGGTCCAGGACTCAAACCGCGGTCAACTACGAGGGAGTCCAGCGACATAGCCATTACGCTAACTGCTGGTCCCTAGAAGTATACATTTTTAAAATTAGGTAATAACATAACAAAATCTGCTTTGTTTTTACTGTAGATTCTTGTTAAATGTTTGACCTAAAGATTAGAATACTTGTAAATATGCTATTTAAAAGTGGGATTAGAGTACTTTAATGTAATCAAGCAGATGTGAATATATTTCCAGGATTTGAAAAGACAAAGCTATAATTAGTTTTTGGATTGTCTAATCTGTACTAACATCTAATAGTCTTTATTGAATTTACATTGAGAGTTTTCCAAAATGTGAAAATTGGACTGCTGTAAATCTCAAGAGGATTTTAAGTTTTAGATGATTAAAGAACAGTGATTTCTATATTAAGAAAATTGCTCCTTTAGTTTTTGTTATAGTCCTTCTGAATCGATTTAAAGGAGTTTCAATTTGGTGCTAGTATACCTGTTTAATATATTTCCTAATCTTCTTAGCAGAGTAGGCCTCAGAGCTTTCTGGAGGCGAAAGAGTCTATAACTAGCTAGTCGTGACTAATGTATTTTTCATGGTATATTTTAAATTTTTAATATAGTGTAGTATATATGTAGAAGCACTCCTATATTGTTCAGTGAGTTCTCACAAACTGAATGCACCTGTTTAACTAGCATTGTGACCAAGAAACAGTAGTATCATCTCTCCACAACCCTGATGTACTGCCTCTAAGAACTACCCATATCTCCACCCACCCAAGGAACCCACCAACTTCTAACAAAAAATGTTTGTTTTGTCTGTTTTTGCGCTTTATACAAGTGGAATTATCTAATACATAGTCTCTCATGTCTGCCTGGTCATATTTAGCCTTATGTTGGTGAGAGCCATTTTCATTATGAGTAGTAGTAGTTTGTTCTCATTGCTCTATGGTTTTCTGTTATGTGAATATAGCAAACTTTACTTATTTTCAGACTTACTTTTATTTATTGAATATGATTTCCATATTTATAGGGACAAACAATTTCCTATTAAAATTTATTTAAATAAAAATTGCTTTTAATTAATTTAAATACTAAGAGCAAGAGTTGCAGCAGATTGTAGATGATACATAAAAGACTAAAGATTGGGAAATACAGGTTGGCCCTATTGTTTCCAAGGTGTTTTCTATAGAATACTGATCCTGAGAACAGTATTTAAGCAAATGTATCCCTAGCATTGGAAGTGGTCCTTAAGAATGTCACGTTTAATTTTTTCTCATTCATTGTTGACCGAACATTCTTCTGATCTCAGTATACCAGAAGAGGATATTATGAGATATCTTTTATTCTTCTTTTTCTTCTTTATTTCATAGAAGATACAGTAACCAACATTACAGTATATAGGAACAGGATTTTAAAAAACATTTATAATCCAAGCCATTTAGTTTTACTTATGGATGAAAGTTTTATTAGTCTTGCCCAGTTTGCCAGTATCATAAGTTAAATACTAAAATGCCTACTTTATTTATATGTGTGTGTATGTGTGTGTGTGTGTGTGTGTGTGTGTGTATTCATTCATTGGTTTGCTAGAAATAATATGGAACCCCTTACCTAGAAGAGTGAATCTATATTATTCATTCAGTTATTTGACAAATATTTACTGAGCACTTATTATGGGCTAGGTTTCTGTGGTTCTAAGTGCTGGGTTTAAACTATTGAACAGATAAAAGTTGTTGCCTTCATAGTTTTTATTTTAATAGGAAATGGGATAAGATAGATAATAAAAAAAATTTCTAGAGGTATAGCATATCTGATGTTAATAAGTGTTACAGAGATGATAGTTTTGAGTATGTGCATGTAGGGGGTGGGTCATAAAATTTTAATCCAGGAGGGACCAGCAGATAGCGTAATGGCTATGTCACTGGACTCCCATGTAAGTTGACCGTGGTTCAAGTCCCGAACCGGGTGACTTAAACTCACGCCAGGTGAGTGCCCAAAATCCTGAGAGGAGAATGGAGGAGAAAGAATTGCGATGTGGCCATCCCCCCTGGAGGGTGATTTCTCACTTTCTGTCTCTTTGTCTCGTTCTGTCTTTCTGGCAAGTGCACACACCCTATAGCAAAAAAATAATAATAATAATAATCCAAGAAAGCTTTACAGAAATAAGTTATAAGTAAGACTCGAAGAGATGTACAAAGAGCAGGAGCATGCTGGGCAAATCAGGAATTACAAAGAAGTCAGTGGCTTAGTGAGTGATTAGAGAAGACAGATAGGTTGAGGGTATCAAGATAAGAGGGTGCAGCAGGCCATTATAAGGACTTAGCTCTTATGTGAGCAAAGGCTGACTTGAACAGGGAGCTGAAATATAGTTGGTACTGTTCACAGTTGACACGATTTAAGAGGCAGCATAGCAAAGTAACTGAATGAGAGTGCAGATGTGAGTCAGAGTGCCTGAGTTTTAACTCTGGTTCTATTTACCAGCTGTGACTTTGGGCAAGTTATTTAAACTCTCTGTACCTCAGTTTTCCTACGAATAATGATGACATCTACATTACAGGGTTGTAGCAAGGATTTCATGAGGTCAATGAGAGTAAGCCCTTTATAACAGCGTGGTACATAATAAATGCTGTATGTGATTGTGTAATAAACACCCAGGTGTTTGGTTAATAAAAACTATAGAGGTGTAAGAAAACTGAAATACGAGGATTACCCAGGTGATCCTCTCGTTCTTTATATTTGGCTGAGAGAAGTTCTCAGGTGACTTCCTCTGTTTTTAGTTTTGCTCCCTTACCCCTCCTTTTTAAAGGATCAGAATTGAGTGTACTTTTAGTCTCTAATAATTACTGAAATCATATTCCTGCATTTTGCAGTAGTGAATGGGTTAAACCGTATAGATTATTTATATCTTAATATACAGTTTGAGCTCAGGATCTATTAAATTGTGCTATCATGTAACATAAGCTGTAGAACAAATCTCAGTGTTTTACTTTAGTGTCTTAGGTATTGGGACCTCTCCTCAACTTTTGCCCCAATACAAATGTTAATACATTTCAGAGTCACTGCTAGTCGGATTGAAGCAAACCTCCCAGATGATTCTAAAGACACATGGAAGAAGCGGGGCAATGTGGATTACGTGGTACTTCTTGACTGGTTTAGTTCTGCAAAAGATTTACATCTTGGAACAACTCTTCGGAGTCTGAAAGATGCACTTTTCAAGGTTAGCAAGTTTCCTTGTTAGTTTTCTGTCATTTTAAGCCTTCTCTGGTTGTTAGAAAGGCATGTCAACTAGTTATTTATCTTATAGATTAAAAGTTCCATCATGCTTTGATTGTAGAACTTTTTAGAATTTCAACTTAAAAGATTTGTTTTGAATCACCAGATAAAAATAAACTGATGTATATAAAATGTTTTAGAACTTTTAGTCACATGCTGACTGTGGTTTGAGTCCCAGACCTGGCAACTTGAAAATCCTGCTGGGCTTGGGAACCAGCAGTTAGCGTAATGGCTATGTCGCTGTACTCCCATGTACTAGACCGCGGTTCAAGTCCCGGACCCGGTGGCTTAAAACTCACGCTGGGCGCGTGTGCGTGCGTGCCCAAGATCCCAAGAGGAGAATAGAGGAGAAGGGATTGCAGCGTGGCCATCCCCCCTGGGGGGTGATTTCTCGCTTTCTGTCTCTATGTCTCTCTCTGTCTGGCGAGTGCACACGCCCTGTAGCAAAAACCTCTCCAAAAAAAAAAAATCCTGCTGGGCTTGTATGCGTGTGTAACCAAAATCCCAGAAGGAGAATGGAGGAGAAGGGATTGCAGTGCGGCTATCTCCTATGGGAGGTGACTTCTCACTTTCCCTCTCACTGTCTCTCTGTCTCAAGCATATGTGCCCTATGGCAAAAACCTTAACAACAACAACAAAAAAAACTATAAAAGCAAAGGAAGATATCACCAAGTCAAAAAAGACTGATATTTTTTACTTAATTAAATAAAAACTTAGGTGTGAAAGAAATATTGTAAGATTAGAAGACAGATTGAACAAAAATATTTGCATTGAATATAGCAGTGGTTTAAAATATTTAAGATCTGATAACTTTTATAAATAAATAAGAAAAATACTTAAGGTAAATTAGTGAAATTTTTAGTGGACACAGACATGAACAGAAGAGGAAGTAAAAGTGGACATACCATAAATAAATGGTCAACTTGATTCATATCAGATGATCCACAATAAAACAGTGCTACTTTTCAGTGCTCAGGTTAACAAAGATTAGAAAAATAATGCTCAATTTAACTTGCTAAATTATTAAGCAGTGATCACACTGAACGCTAGTGAGAATACACCTCACTCTGCTGGTAGGAGAATCAGTTGGTGGACCGTTCTCTTCAGGTAGGGCAATCTAAAAAGCCTTGAAACAGTTCGTGTTTTTAGGAACCCAGAACTATACTCATATATGGTTTGATTATATGAAACTGCCAATATCTACCTAACTTTGACTGATGAAAGTGGCAGTTTTATACAGCTCAATCTAAGGTATGTAAATGTTTAATGCAGGACAAAGGTGACAGAACAAATCAATAAGGAAAAGATGGACTAAAATAAATTGTTTCCGGACAACTGACTAGCCAGTCAGTAAAAAAAAGAGTGGATCCCTGTCTTATTTCTTAGACCAAGCTAGATCTCAAATGGATCAAAGATACGAATGTGTAGATTGAAAAACGAACTGCTAGAATTTTTTTTTTTTGGAGAGGTTTTTTCTATAAGGCATGTGCACTCGCCAGGAAGACAAAGAGACACAGAGAGATAGAAAGTGAGATATCACCCCCCAGAGGGGATGGCCACACCACAACCCCTTCTCCATTCTCCTCTTGGGATCTTGGGCACGTACACACACGCACCCAGCATGAGTTTAAGCCACTGGGTCTGAGACTCAAACTGCGGTCGACTACATGGGCGTCCAGAGACATAGCCATTACGCTAACTGCTGGTCCCTAGATATTTTTTATTATCTTAATCCCACACCAAGATGCCATAAAGGAAGACCAATATATTTAACTATAAAATAAAAATTAAAAAATATATATATATATAAAGGGAAAATCTATTAGTAACAATATTTACAGTACAGGAAAACCTGTGGTGTGGGGGTTAAGGTGACTGGGTCCCACATGGCTGTGACTACACAGTTCAAGTCCTGGACACAGAAGATCATGCTGTGTGCGTGTGTGTGCATGCCCGAAATCCTGAGAAGAGAATGGAGGAGGGATTATGGCACGGCCATTCCCTCAGGAAGTGATTTCTTGCTTTCTCTCTCTGTTTCTCTTTGGCAAGCACATGTGCCCTATAGCAAAAACTTAACTAGAGACCTATTTTTCCTAATATTCATAGTATATTAACTTTATTATTAAAATAGCAAACAGCTCTATAGAAAAATTAGCAAAGGATGAGTTCAATCATAGAGCAATATAGTGGCTAATAAACATAGAAAAGATGCTCAATTTCACTGATAAAGAAATAATAAAGCAAGATACCATTTTATGTCAGGCAGCTTGGTAAAAATTATAAAGATGGGCCATTCTCATATACTGTTGGTTACGTGTATAAATTGGAATAACCTTTTTGAAGGGCAATTTGTCATCATTTATCAAAATTTTAAACCAGCAATTTTACATCTGGGAAGTTAAGCCAAAGAAATGGACCAATGTATTTTTTTTTGGAGAGGTTTTTGCTATAGGACACATGCACTTGCCAGAAGGACAGAGAGAGACAGAGAGACAGAAAGTGAGAAATCACTCTCCTCCCCCCCCCCCCCCCGGGGGGTGGGGCCACCGC